TCAGAAATCTCAAATGGCTCTCTATTGGCCACTGAGAAAAAGGACACTTGGAGTCCTTCATGGTCTGGTACCACTTTACCTTTCTGCCCTTGTGTCATGTTACTTCCCTCTATTCATGTTATATGCCATTCCCAAAGCATATCTGGCCTCATATATCTAAGTCTCTGTTCACTCTATTCGCTAAGCCTGAAATGTCTTCCTTTACCCACTTTACATTAGAGAACCAAAGATTTCTGAGTACAGAAGTGACATGACCAGATATATGTATAAGAAAGGCAGTACAAAGAAAGATTCACTGTTTTCTTAATTGGATATATATTTTTAGGTTTTATTGATGCCTTTTGCTTTTACATCATTCATTTCCAGATATATTCCTCCCCCACCCTGATCAAGAGAGCCTTCCCTTGTAAATAAAGGGAAAAAAACCAAAACCTTTAATCTGATATTCTTCAAACAGCTGGACTACACTGTGGTACATTATGTGCTGCGTGGGGGCACATTTTCATTGTTGACTGCTATTAATAACGGCAGATATCACATGTCCTTAAGTTTGCCTTTAGGGAATCTTGGTAACATTCAAAGGAACGCTCTAGAGCATGCTTTGCGACAGACAATTCTAAGATCCTCTATTCATGAGACATACTGTTGGTTCGGTGGAACTGCTGTTACGTTTCTGGAGCACTCTTGGGCCAGAATTTTATGCTGACAGTTCATGTGTATTTCTTAAGAATTACACGTGAAACTGGCCAAACTTAATGAAGCACTACCCATACTTCACAACTATAACAATGTGGTGAGTCCCAGAATACATCCATTTACTATTCTGATTTTGATCCTAACACTACTGTGCTCACTTTTTTATTTGATTTGGATTTGAGAGACCTGGGTTTCTACAAGTGGTATTACTGTGAACAAATCACTTAACATTCTCAGAGTTTCAGTTCTCTCATCTGTAAAATGGGAATAAAAATGCTCATTCTACTGCTCTTCAAGGACTGCAAGGAAAGTGCTTAGCAAACCTCAAAGGGAAATACACACATACCTATATACGTTCTTTTGTTAAAATTACTCTTTTTCAAGGGTAACATGCTACCACATAACATGACAAATCTACCAAAATAATAAGTTACTTGTAACTTTAAATGGAAAAGTTATTTAACTGCATGACAGATGCTGCAATGTATGTCATACAGACAGCACTGGAAGAGAAAGGCATCCAGGTTTTCTGGTATTAGTTAGTCGGACCAAAGTGACATCCAGTCTTGTCTAATCCATTAAATTATTGTGCATCATTTTGATTATGGGCTACAACCATGTTGTCCCTGGCCCAGAGAAGATCTTAGACAGTTGCTATCAGTATCTTGTTTTTGCTATAAAAGCGCTGATCACATTTTTGTCTTGCTTATCTTCACGCCTATACACTTTGGTTTTTATCCACATTAAAAGCACAAGGGCCAAGGTACAGTGAGATGATGTTAGCAGGTCCAACAAAAAGCACCTGAAGGCCAATTCCACTGATCCCTTCAATTGAGGTAGCTACATTCATTCACTCACTCATTGGTTCATGTACAATTCCAAGCACTGAGTGCGTACAAGGCATCTTGCTACTGAATTATCTGTTTCTCATCCAATTCTCACATTCACAAGGGCCAATTTTTCTTACCAACGGGAAGTGAGAGAACACAATCTATATGTATGTGGGCTTTAAATGACTCCTGCCAGTGACCAGCCAGACAATTAAGATGAGAATGGGTGTCTAAAACTACCAGAGAGATGAATAAATGGATTCTTCCCATGAGATGAGGAGCAAACCTTAAAAATAACAAATTGAAAATAACTGTGGTTAAGGGAATGGGCTTCCAGACCCTGTTCTTTATTTTCCTTGCGTTTAAGGAAATGTCTACATGGGAAACTCTCAATAAGAATTTGTCTCATAAAAAAATGTATAAATTTATCATATCACAAGCTCTGGGAATAAGGGTAATAACTCACATACAGTAGGCATTTAATAAATGTTTGCTGAATTAATTATATGCAAAAAGCTTTTGATAACTATTTAGTAATTAAAATCTTAGTAAAACATGGACCCACTGGGACCAAATGAATGATAAATAATATTGCATCTGTTTCTAAGCTTATAAATCCAAATTTGAATCCAGACCCCAACTCTCATTACTTGTTGGGATAGAATCGAAACTTTCCACTGAGCCTAGCCTTCTCGACTGCCATCAATTAGCCTCCCCTCTCCCACTAATCTAATCTGAGAATGTTTTATGCACAAGCTAATCATCCATAGAAGCCCAGCTAGTCATCTTACTATTCTCTGTTCCTGCCTCCACTCATCATGTTTTTTTCCTTCTTGCTTCCAGAACCTTTCTGATTCACATGCATAACTTCCTTCAAGAACCAGCTCATGACAAAGCCTTCCCTGACATCTCACCCTCTCAAATCACTTCTTAGCTTACAGAGGCAGACAAACAGCCAGGTATCTTTAAAAGTCTCTTCCAGATCTACCACACTGAATTAAAGGTCATCCTATCACTCACTATCACACTTGAGTTTTCAAGTGCTTAAATATGGATTCCTTCATTGGATCCATATACATTCTTAATAAATGCTTGTGAGCTTGAACTGAATTGCTTATATATTACCCTGTAGTTGCTCCCTAGTTATTTCATGTTTTATGGAATTTTTGCCTGCCTTTTCTATATTGCTTATGCCCTTTGGGCCTCGTAGTTAACAAGAAGTGCTTTGAGGAAGGGCTAGAAACAGGGTTACTATTTATCCTTCCCATTAACTCTGGTCTTTCTCCAGCTCTATTTCCTCCAATCCCTCCTTCACACAGATGCCAAAATAATCTTTCTTAAACATAGATTTGGATCATATCACTCCTCTGCTCAGAAACCTCAAATGGCTCCCTAAGATCCACTGCCTCATCGGGCTCTTAACTTTAGCCCCACTCCCTCCTCCTCCTCACTAATGGAAGCTGCCAGATGGTAGCAGAGGTATAGTGTTAAGAGTCAGTGGGCGAGAGCAGAACTAGGGAGTGGATCCAGGACAGGGCAATTAATTACATGCTTAGTGATAGGCCTGAACAAAGAATGGAACAAAATGAAAACACCCCAATAACCAGATGAATTAATTGCTCTAGGGTGTTGCTTTTTGTTATCAGTTTACTAATGTATTTTGGACAGTAGAGGCCAAGTTTGAGGGCTGAGTCATCATCTCCTCAAGCTACATAAAAATGACTTGAGCAAGCACAGTGCACTTTGTATCTTTTCCTCAGCAGCTGTAACGGTTCAATACCAGCCTGACTGAGGCCATACACACTACCTATGCACTATGACCTAAATATATGCTCATCCTCAGTACCAGAAATACTAAGTGGCCAAAGACTAACACTTATCACGATGTTTAAGGTGGGGGACTGAATCACTACCTTTTGAGGGGTACATTTATTCAACGTATGTAGAAACCAGCACCAGAAGTGTTTCTGGTGTTGTGCACCTCTTATAGTATTATTTTTGACTGTGATTTAAAGCACTGGCTTTTTCCTCTGCTTCTCCTCTCTGAATTTGCTAATTCCTGGGTTTGGGACTTCAATACCTAAGTACTAATTCATCTACCACTGCTGTAAAAACCACCTCGGGACAAAATCCCTCAGCAATGGAGAGATACCATAACTGAACTGAACATTTCAATGGCACCCCTTAACTCTTAACTATCAGTCAGATTCTGTGACAACTCAACCTAGACTTTTTTTCCAGTGTGAGAAGATTGGAAAGTACTCCCAGGATTAGAGTGGTGCAGGAAGAAGTTGTAGGCAAAACATGGAGCAGTGTCTGCATGTACATACTGTAGTGCAAAGCATCCTGTGTGAAGAGTATACATAGGACAATGCTTCATAAATACATTTATGGCAGTGACATGTGCTTCCAAGGGGAACTGATGGCTTCAGTGAGAGAACTTAGTGATTGAACTGCTGTCAGAAGCTAGCTTTAAATCCCTGAACAGAGTCACAGTTCTTCGGCCAAAAATATGCAAGGATGATGTTGTGGATGTGACACCTCATGGTCAAAATTAAATGAATGGCTGAAGTGTTCAGAGCTCAAGGGAGAAGAAAGGGGGAACTCTGGGGAAGAAGGAAGTCCTTGTTGAAATCAATTTGTTAGGAATGTGAGCATGGGGTCAGATGAGGGGGAAAGGACACTGAAAACTAGTGGGGCCCAGAGGTGAAGAGGAGAAGGTGGTGATGGTTTCAGAAGATATCCATGAGAACTTGGGGTCAGGGAAGATGTAGGTCTGGGAATCTGCAGGGCTGCATAGGATGAATGCCGTTGTAACATAGGAAGCTATCAGGGTTTATGATCACTGGTAATCAGAATCATTATGGGGAAAGGGGATGGGAACTTGAGGGGATCATATGATTTTAGGCTAATGGCGGCATTTTAGGGCGGGGTATAAATAAAGTCAGTCAGTCAACAACCATTTATTAAGCACTTACTTTGTGCCAGGCACTGTGTGAAAGCTGAAGACTAGCACTGGGGATACAAAGAATGTTAAAGGTGTTAAGTAAAGGATAGAGCCATGGGACCAAAATGAGGGGCTATGAATATTACAGGGAAAAGAGATTCTAGAGCAGGTTACAGGAAGCAAGAGGCTAAGGATCATGAACAAAGGGATAGGTCATGGTCAATTACCCCACTATCTGCAGAAAAAAAACATTATTATCCTTTCTGGATAATATTATCCTCTTTGGATCCTTTTGGAGCAGCTAGGTGGCGCAGTGGAGAGCTGGGCCTGGGGTCAAGAATGATCTGATTTTAAAATTGGACCACGGACACTAGTTGTGGGACTCTGGGCAAGTCCCTTAAACTCTATCTTCCTCGGTTTCCTCAACTGTAAAAATAGGGAATATAATAGCACCTACCTCTCAGCGTTGTTGTGAGGATCAAATGAAGTAATATTTGTAAAAAGTCCTTTGCATAGTGCCTGGTACATAGCAGGCGCTTAATAAATGCTTATTTCCCTTCCTTCCCTCTAAGATTATCAGAACAAAGGGACATGGAGTGTGAAGCTCCAGAAGCTCTTATCCTGTGCCTTGCACAGGATGATAACCTTAGGACTGGAAGGGTTCTCAAAAGTCCAACCCCATCATTTTATGGATGGGGAAACTGAGGCCAGGAAGATTAAAAGAATGGCCTAAGGTAAAACATCACACGGCTAGGCACATGCTGTTGACTGACAGCTTGACGCTGGGTGCAGCGATCCGCAGAGGAGAGGCGCCAGGGATACCTCCAGGGCACAGGCTGCCATAGGGCAGAAGGCGAGGGCCCGGGCTCGGCTCCTCGGGGCCCACGAGGTGTCTGGACTGAACCAGCAGATGTGGGGAGGGACGACGGGTAGGTCCTGGTGGAGGGGGGGCAGAGTGCAAAGGTCACGAGGACAGAGGAGGGAGTGGGGTAGGCGGAGGAGGCCTGATCACGCGCGGTGGGGGCGGGTCACGGGAGGCGGGATTGGGGGTTGGGGGGCCCGGACCCTGCTCTGGGGAGGGGGCTCTGTGAGGAGGAGCCGGGCCGGCTCAGGCCAGGCCTATCCTCCTTCCCGCCCGGATGCCCCATTTGCGCTGGAGAAGGTTGGGCATGCCGGACTCGGGGCCACCTCTCCCCCTAGAGCCCTGAGCCCGCCCGGCTCCCCCACCCTGGGACTGCAGCCCCGTTTTCCCCGCAGCCACCAACCTGACAGCCCCCGAGGCCGACTCCGCCGACAGACCGCCATGCACCGGGCCCATCTACCAGCGCCGGCCCCGCAACCCGCCTGCGCCATAGCCCTCCCGCCCGCGCGCAGCGCTGCCTGGCCTGAAATACAGGTTCCGGGGCCGGAGCCTCCACCCCACCCGCCCGCCTGACAGCCGCGCCCCTATAGCCACCCCGGAACCTGCATGACTACAGCACAGCGCGCCGGCTTCCGCCCCCTGTTGAGCCAATTCTTCTGCTTATCCTGGTTCCGGGGCAACTGGCACCTGGGCCGCCAGGGCTGTGGTCCGAGTCTCTCAGAGGCTCCCTCCCTGCCCCCGCCTCGCCCCTCCCCCTTCGAGGGCTGACGCCAAGGTAGAGGGGACCCGGGGAACCTAGAGCTAGGGGGCGTGATGGCGTCAGGACGCCGCGCCTGGGAGGTGTTCCCGATGCTAGCGTCGTTATGGCAACCGGCGAGCCGCCGCCTCCCTTGCCTTCCTCTCTAGAGAAATCATTCTACTCTTCTCCTAAGGAGGATTGGGAGGCGGGTAGGGACGCCGGCAAGGACCCGGGTGTTGGCTGCCACCAGCCTGGCGGCCTAGGGGGCTGTCAGCACGGAAGAGTACTGTCGCGACCTAGGGAGCCAGTCGGGACAGGTCTAGAGCGAAGATGGGCAATTCAGGGCTTCACTAGCAAATGATGCAGGTTGTGAGAATGTGGACTCCCTAAGGCCTAGGGCCGTGCCACATTTTATCTTCGTGTCTTCAGGCCTTCCCATAATAGTTGCTTATTCAATATTTGTTGAAATGAAATTGAGGGCAAGAAGCTGGAAAGACTGCTGGCTGCGTTTACTTTCTTTTTTTCTTTGTATCTCCAAGCGCTTAGCCCAGTGCCCTAGGCACATAGTAAGCGCTTAATAAATGCGTATTGTTGTTCAGGCAAAATTGTGAAGTGGCCTTATGGTCCTTATTGTCCGCTGCTTCTGTGTCCTCTTTCACCTCATGGCACACAGTCCTCTCGATGCCATTAGAATGCGAGCTTCTTGAGAGCTGGGACTGTCCAACGTTTCTGTTTGTATCCACAGCAGGTAGCACAGTGCTTTGCACATTTGTTGTTCAGTCATTTCAGTCACGTCTGTCTCTTCATGACCCCATTTGGGATTTTCTTGGCAAAGATACTGGAGTGGTTTGCCATATCCTCCAGCTCATTTTACAGATGAGGAAACTGAGGCAAATAGAGTCAAGTGACTTGTACAGCTAGTAAGTGTCTGAGGCCAGATCTGAATTCAGGAAGATGACTCTTCCTAACTCCAGGCCTGGCACTTTGTCCACCTAGCTGCCCTGTAACTTTGCTTAGTAAGTTTAATACATGCTTCATTCATTCACTCATTTATTCAGTCAGTGCCCTCATGCAGTACCTTGGCTGTTCAAGCCTACCCTCTTGGGACAGATAGAAATCACTGCTTTGGAGCTTTCTCCTACCCCCATAAAAACCCATAACAACAAGAAATTAGTCACCTGTTATTCAGGACCCTAATTCCTTCATCTAAAAATATTTATTAAGCTGATTAGCATATTCAGAATGCGAGGTATTGCTTGGAGCAGTGCAAAGAGCCTTATATTTTGGAGTCAGAAGACCTGGGTTGAAATCCTAGTTCTGCAATTGGGTGTCACTGCCACTTCTCCCACTCTGGGCCTCAGTTCCTTCACTGTTCCTTCAGTTACCAAATCCCGTGAACTTATGAGAGATTTAAAATTTTGGTTCCTGACCTAAGGGAGGTTACAATCTAGCAGATCAGTTGATGCTTAAAGTATCAATGGTTGATAATGATTTGACTATTGGTCTTCATATTTAGCTATCTGAAAGTGAATCCTTCAAAATATAATGATATAAAAACAAAAAAAAAGTGGGGGAACCATAATGATAGTGTTTTAGGCATAGTGGTGAGGATGATATTTTTGGCTCAGGGGATCTTTTCTTCCCTCTATGAGTGACCCTGCCTATGCAATGTATTGGAGCTCTAATTGATGCAAGCTTTTAGGAAAAAAAGCAAGAGAAGTGGTGGCTAGTCTTGGAGTCAATGTGGTCGAGTGAATTGAGCACTGAATTTGGAGTGAGATGTGACTGAGTTCTGAATCCACCAACTATTAATTCTGTGAGTTTGGGCAAGTTCTTTTGCCTTAGTTTTCTCAGCTGTATTTTGAGAATAATAATTGTATTATCTGCTCTGCAGGGTGGCCAAATAAGATCATGCTTGTAAAGCATTTTGCAAAGATTAAAGTGCTATATAAAACATAAGTTATTATTATAATAACTAACCAGTTGTCCCAATGATGGAGACTGAGTAACTGAAAGGTCAGTCTTTTTTTTTTTGCTTTTTGGTGGACAGTTGGGGTTAAGTGACTTGCCCAGGGTCACACAGCTAGTACATGTTGTGTGTTGTGTGTCTGAGACCGGATTTGAACTCAGGTCCTCCTGACTTCAAGGCTGGAGCTCTATCCGCTGCGCCACCTAGTTGCCCCCATTCTCTTTTTTTTTTTTCTGAAAGGTCAGTCTTGAAGGCTATTGAGGGAAGAAAGCATAGGGACTATGCAGAATTTCAGGGTCCACACTTTCTCTTTGATGCCTCCTCCTCAACTCCTTTAGGTATGTCTACCACTGCTAGATGCTCAGTGCCATCATGCTGCTTGCTACTTACCACAGGGTCATTGACTGTGATGCTTATTCCTTTTTCTGACATTTTCCTAATTCATCTCCTCAGGTAAAACTTGTTTCTCTTGTGTCACATTCCATAAGTGGTCTGCTCTCTGCTGTCTGACAATAGATGTTATTGGGTTAATCAGAGAAACTAGTTTGTACTAAATGTGAATATATGGTCTCTTCCAGTTACCTGATGCCTTCAAGTGTGATGCAGTGAAAAAAAATACTAAGCTATGATTCAGGAACCTTGTCTTAATTCTGTGTGATTATAGGCAGGTCATTTGACTACTCTGGGATTCATTTTCCTCATGAGTAAAATGACAGTGTTGGGCTGTGTACAATTTTTAAAGTCCTTTTCAGCACTGGTATTTTATGATTCTAATTCAGTTAAAAGATATGTGTTCAGAGGAAGCCTATATAAGGAATTCGGTTAACAATGAGAATCTCAGGAATGTGGCAGATTGGTGACAGATTTTTAGGCAGACTTTTTCTATCCCACAAAAAGCACCATATAGCCATAACACAAATATAATAACACTAGACATAGGATGATATCAAGGAATTGAGTAACACCATAACTTTGTAGCTCAGAATTCAAATCAGACTCTTCATTTCGTAGGTTGCAGTCATATTATCTACTTCTTACAGTGGGGGCTTTGTTGGAGTTTGTTCTTTGTGGTATAGATTCAATCAACAGATATTTATCAAGTTATTATTCAGTCATGTTTGACTCGTTGTGACCCCATTTGGGATTTTCTTGGCAAAGATACTGCAATGGTTTGCCATTCCTTCTCCAGCTCATTTTACAGATAAAGAAACTGAGGCAAACAGGGTTAAGTGACTTGCCCAGGGTTACACAGCTAGTAAGTATCTGAGGACAGATTTGAACTCATGAAAATGGGTCTTCTTGACTTCAGGTGTGGTAATTTATCCATTGTGCCACCTAGTTGCCACACAGTATTTGCTACCAGAAAATATCCTCAAATGTGTGTATAATCTCATCTATTTGTACATTCCATCCACTTATGTAAAACAATCTATTCATGCTCATTTGTACTGTGTGACATTTGTCCACATCTTCCCATAGAGTGTCCACTGAATTTGTTGGGGACCTTCCTCAGTTTCTTCTGACTTTGCAAGGAGAGTTACTAGTGAAGTTATATATCTATTGACTAGCCCACATTTTTAAAAATTATACGTTTCTGTGATGACATTCTTTACTCAACTTCTTGTTTGTAATGCTCATTTGCTATGTCTTCTCCATTTTTCTTCAAATGATCTTCAGTTTTACTTGGAGACTGTATGCTTCCATGATTTGAAACCATAAAACAACAGTAGTAGAATATTGGTATTAAAAAGATGAACCTTCGCTTCCAGAGCCAAGATGGCAGAGTGAAAAGGTAGCCGCTCTCACCCTCCCCTATCAATCTCTGAAAACCCAGAAAATATCACCCCAGAAAAAAACCCTGGAACAGCTGAACTAGAAGAAAGACAGGGAGCAGCAGTGCAGCAGCCCAGCAAATGGGTCTCCCAGTGCCTTAGCAAAAATAAGGGAGGCAGAACTACAAGGGCCCCAGGCTGATAAGTACACTGTGGCATTCTGAAAGGAGGTGAAGAAAACAACCTAAAGGCTTCCTAAAGCCCTGGCCTTTCTGGTTCCAGCCCAACACCAGGTGAGCTGTTGAAGCCCTGCAACCTCCAATTATGAAGAAATCCTGAAGCACAGGTGGTAGAACAGGCAAACACTGACACCTGGACCTCCAAGTGCCTCAGTGAGGGCGGGGGAAACTGGTGGAAACCAGCCCAGAAAACCACCAGGTGCCTCGGCACTCTACCGCAAAGGAATTTCCCAGTGCATTAGCAGAAAGGAGGGAGACAACACTGCAGGGGGCCCCAGGCAGATAAACACCTTGTAGCACCCATGTAAAAGGAGCTGAAGAAAGCTAAAGGAAAGGAAAAGCAGGCAACCTAGAATTGCCTGAAAGTTCCAGCCTTGCTGATTCCAGCCCAACACGAGGTAAGCTGCCAGAAACCTACAGCCTCCATTTGCCAACATAAGAGGCCCCAGCACACAAAGCCAGTGACCAAGACCTAGGCTCCCAACACAAGAAGCTTGGGTCAGTGCCCTCTGATCCCCAGAAGGAGAACTCAATCTCTTTAAAGGCCAGGGAATAAAGAAATGCCATGAGTAAAAAACGTACCATAGATTCATATTATGAGAAGAGTGAAGATCAAGACAGAAATTCTGAAGAGGACAACATTTCAACAAACCCACATCTGCAACAACAAAAGGGAATATGAACTGGTCTGAAGCCCAAAAAGCCTTCTTAGAAGAGCTCAAGAAGGATTTTAAAAGTCAAATGAGAGAGGTAGAAGAGTCCTTCAAAAATACAATTGGCCAATTG